TGAGAATTCGTCTGATTTCACAACTCGTAGCAAAAAATGTTGGAAAAGATGAAATTTGCTGGCGCAACGGAAAATTTAGCTATCAAGAAAAAATACGAGGAAAAACTGTTGTGCAGGCAAAAGGGGAAGGGCGAAAACACAATTTTCTTGCGCATTCGAACGATTTTTCTTTTTTCCCTTGCACAATCATAAAGATAAGTCATCGATGTGGTTGGGAATTCGTCTGTTTTCACAAATCGTAGCAAAAAATGTTGGATGATGGGTGAAATTTGCTGACGTAATGGATGCTATCGGAAAAAATACGAGGCTGCAGATTCGTGCTCATTTCCCGTGCACAATCTTGCGTATGAGAAAGGGAAAGTTTGAAAGAGAAAAAGGGGAAAAGGAGAAAAAGAAAAGATTTCTTGTGGAGTCTATTCGGAAAAGAATATTTTAATCTGTAGAATTTGCAAAAATGAAAAAGGGGTGGGGGAAGGGGGAAGCAGAATTTTCTTGCGCATTCGAACGGTTTTCTTGCGAAGTCGAACGGTTTTCTTGCGCATTCGAACGGTTTTCTCGCGGAATATTATTCGGAAACAAATATTTAAGTCCGTAGAGTTTTCATTTTCCCTTCATTTTTACTTTCAAGTTGGCTATTCAAATTTTGGTAACTTTTTTATTTTTCTTTGGTGTGTACTGTAGCTGAGACAAGAAAAAGCTAGGGTACTGTGCTGAATTCTTTTTGTGCCCTAGCCACAGTATTTCCCTGGTACAGTACCCTAGATTCCACATTTGCCTTTTACAAACTTCTTATCAAAGTTTGCCTTTTGGTAACAATTTTGGTCAAATTTCAATCATAAAATACCCAATTTGGCTTGTTAGAGTTGGCTTTTTTCTTTGATTTCAATTTCATACGTATTTATTCATCCATTTTATTTTGCCTTATCAAAATTTCCTTTTCCACTCATGGATATCCTATACTTCTTATCAGAGTCCTCTTTTGCACCGGCGTAATAGAGAGATTCTTCCTTACGTATTTCTGCAATAGAAGGGCAACTTTTCATGTAATATGTATGGACTTTTTTATGGTACAAAAGATACAAAAGGTGGATAGATTGAATAAAAATAGAGACAAGATTACGGTGGAAAGAGGCACGGTTTGGAAAACGGCAGTAGCCCTTAGTTAATCTTCAGCTTATTGCATTGTCTGAAATGGCAAAGATAGCTTATTCCAGATTTCTGAAAGGGATACATTTTAATTGTTGCCTTTTTTTTTCTCTTTTCATTTTGCAACTCCATAATAAAATAGTCCATTAATCAGTAATGCAACTTCATAACAAAATAGTCCATAAAATAGACCGTACTCCATAAAATAGTCCATAAAATAGAACGTCATACGTATCCTTTCATCCCCATTCAAGCACATTCATAAACATTTCTAATTCTCTTATCATCTTGCATTCACTTTTTTCCTCTTTTTTTGAGAGAAAAACTTGGGCGGAGTCTATGGGATTTCTGTGCCCATATTTAATACCCCTGAATACCCCATATTTAAACGGGCCAAAGCATGGTTTGCATAACCGTTCAAAAGCTACTATTTTACAAATATCAACGTTTTGTTCTAAAGCCCCTTGAAACTTTGAAATTTGCTTTTTTCAGAATCCACTTTATTTCAATTCCTTTTCTTCCCATAATTCCTCCAAATGGTTTGCATAACCATTCACAAGCTATTATTTTAAAATTCTTGAGATTTTGTTCCCAAAAATCTCTCCAATCTTGTTTTTTTCAGAATCCACTTCATTTTGATTCCTTTTCTCCCCAGAATCACTAAAGAAATTTCCTAGATTACGTATTTTTCTTGCATTTGCAATTGGAGTATTCTTGCGTTTGTTGCTTTTTGAGATACAAGGAGACAAGCCTCAATTCATTCAGTTCACTCAAGTCAAATATGCTCAAAATTGGTACTCAATTCATTTATTATTTAATCACTTTGAATCTTTTTGATTAAATGAATCATTAAACTTAAGACTTTGCTTAAAGCAAAAGCCTTTGGATCGATTGCACGTAGAATTGTTTAGCGTTTGGAAGCCTTTGTCTGTGCTTAATTTGGAACGAATTTTTTGTTCAAATCTTCCAAGATCCTTGCTTTTAAATGCTCATGCCTTTTTGCTCTTTTGATAAATTTGTATTTTATTGTTACAACTATTTGAATAAAAAGATTCCAAAAAAATTGATTTTCCAGATTCCGCTAGAATCCCTTCAAACCTTTACAAAATGTCTGATGTAACAACAAGTGGTTGGATGGATGTTGATGAAAAGTAAGTTAAAAAGAAAAAATTAGAAAGATTATTTGTAACCTCGTTATTCTAAACGTTATTCTGATTGTGATTGGTAAAAAGTAGACTGATAAGGATTCTCTTCGTTGAATTTCCGAGGGAAAAGTCAGGCTTTGGAGCGAAGTTTAGAGTAACTTGGCTTTAAAATTGCAATATTATCTAAGTAAATCATTTTCACAGTTAAATTCAGATCAAAAATGTCGGCCGGATCGTTGAAATGTCACCCAGGAGATCCCTTGGAGATTACGACTGGAAAAGGTGATTGGTATAATGTGGAGGGAAGGCAACAGGGATAATTCGGCAAAAATGGCAACAATGAGAATATTTGTGATCTTGATTACAGGTGATATTTGGGAAAATTTGGAAATATTAAAGTTCTTTGAATAAGATTCAGTGTTAGTCAAAGTCTATAGTCATTCGTTTTATACATAAGCTCACCAAAGTTACAATTACCGTAATCTCCTTGGTAAAGCAGTACTCCATAACGTAATAGACTGAATATTTTATTTGTCAAGAACTATAATCTGAAAAGATTCAATGAATCCCATTACAGTAACTCATTGCCTGTACAATCAAATGGTCTCTTTTCTTCGAATCTCCAATAGAAGCTCTCCACTGTTTCAACGCAAATAACTATCGCTTCCAGTTTTTCTCTCAATATTTTTGGAACAAAATGCTTATTTTTTAAATAGATATTTAAAAAATTGCAAGATTTTATTTATCATTCTCACTTTTCTTTCGATTCTCATTCCTTTTTCACTTATTTTGATCTTTCTTTGTCCGTTTTCTTTCTAATCATTGGTTGTAAATATTGAAAATATTCGTGGTAACAATGTGATTTTGTTTTGATAAATTTACAGGCACTTATAGATACTTTATAGATACTTAAGACATACCGTAAATACTGTAATTGGACCCCACTCCTCTAATAGTACCCCCTCTAATAGTATCCCCTCTAATAGTACCCCTTCTAATAGTACCCCTTCTAATAGTACCCCTTCTAATAGTACCCCTTCTAATAGTACCCCTCTAATAGTACCCCTTCTAATAGTACCCCCTCTAATAGTACCCCTTCTAATAGTACCCCTTCTAATAGTACCCCTTCTAATAGTACCCCTCTAATAGTACCCCTTCTAATAGTACCCCTTCTAATAGTACCCCTTCTAATAGTACCCCTTCTAATAGTACCCCTTCTAATAGTACCCCCTCTAATAGTACCCCTTCTAATAGTACCCCTTCTAATAGTACCCCCCTCTAATAGTACCCCTTCTAATAGTACCCCTTCTAATAGTACCCCTTCTAATAGTACCCCACCCTAGAGGGGGAGGGAAAAAATAGTACCCCATGGGGTCCAATTACAGTATTTACGGTAAGGGAAAGTGGAAAAGATTTCTTCCAACACACAGAGGTAGTAACACCTTAAGAAACATAGAAATTAATGGGGGAAAGATTGCAAGGTTGCAGAAAGAATGAAATTCAATTAATCACTGACAACGTAAGAGAGATCTAGTATATATGTCGTAGCCGCTGGCGAATTTCAGCCGCTAACGAATCATTCGTTAACGGCTAGCCGCTAACGAATGAAATTTTTCGCTAGCCGTTTACGAATGATTCGTAATCGGCTAGCCGCTAACGAATCATTCGTAATCGGCTAGCCGCTAACGAATCATTCGTTAGCGGCTAGCCGTTAACGAATGAAATTTTTTCACTAGATGTGTACGAAATCTTTGTAATTGGCTTCTGCGAACATGGCTAGATTCAAATGAACTTACCGTGTTTTTGGTTTCAAATTTTTTACGCAAAAAAAAAGAAAAGAGAAAAAAATTCATTTTGAAGGGAGCTATTAAAAGTTGTCAAAATACCCCTTTGCTGAAAATGGGTCCTCCGGGACGAGTCCTCCCCATTGTTATCAGTGATTTCGGATTCATTTTCTTTCTGCTTTTTTATTATGCTTTGTTTTTATTATACTTGCTTTATTATATTTGTTTTTTCAGGATGAATTCGTTTCTCAACCAACTTGACACGTATCAAATTTTGAAAAAGCGAACGCATATACTAACGACGAAAAAATACGACGAAATTGCGAACAGATTGACAACAATGTCAAGTGAAAGTGAAAGCGAGAAACGGAAGCGAACGAGAGAAGAGGCGAATTGGGCACGTCGTTACTCGATTCAATGTATTGAGCAATCAAAAATACTCTACAATCATGGAGATAAAGGAGAGAACGAACAACCAAAACGAGTCGTCAAGAAAGAGGAACTCTTCGATGTTTTGACGTCAACTCACAAAAGACTAGGACACGCCGGCCGGGACCTGATGTGGAAAGAACTGCGAGGAGATTATCACGGGATCTCAAAGGAAATACTCGAGATTTTTATCAAACTTTGCCCGGAATGTGAATTAAAGAAGGGGACACCAAAAAAAGGAGTTGTTGTGAAGCCGATCATAGCGAAGGAGCAAAATGAACGCTGCCAAGTCGACTTAATTGATCTTCAATCGGTTCCGGACGGCGACAACAAGTTTCTGATGGTTTATCAGGACCATCTCACGAAATTTGTTATTCTGAAGGCTCTAAAAACGAAAACAGCTTTTGAGGTGGTCGACCACTTGACAGAAATATTCGGCACCTTTGGTGCCCCGCAAATTCTTCAATCGGATAATGGAAGAGAATTCGCTAACAAAATGGTATGTTTTTAATGAAACCTAATCCTTTTATTAGTACCGTTGAAATGTGATTGTTTAGGTAAAAGAACTTTTGAATCGTTGGCCCGGATGTCGAATTGTACACGGTCGTCCTCGCCATTCACAGAGTCAAGGATCAGTCGAACGAGCAAATCAGGATGTGGAAGTATGTTTTTAATGTTGTTTTAAACCACATTTAAAAATTGTACCTATGTTTTTCTTTAGAAGATTCTCTGCACACAATTGAGGGAAGAGAAATCGACAAAATGGGCACGTATTCTTCCCATTGTGCAATCAATGAAGAATAGACGCTTTCATCGAGGAATTGGCCGATCTCCTTTTGAAGCAATGTTTGGAAGAAAAATGGTACTCGCAAATGAAAACGGAAAGATTCCAACAAATGAGGAGAGAAATGTTACGGATATTGATAATGAGGTAGGACAATTGTGTTTCAAAGCATTTAGTTTGTATTTTTTAGGTTTTCGAAGGCGAGAAATTTGACGATTGGAGTGAAGCAATATTGGCAACTAGCACAGAAAATCCGTCATACTTTCCCGAATCCGACGAAGAACTCGATTCCGATCGTGAGTCAGGTTAGTGGTTTTGGTTTGATTTTTTTTATCTTGCTTCGATTTAATAGATAGTATTGCATTCATTTTAATCTTTAGTTTTAACTCAACGGGATGCAGAAATCGAGCAGCATCGAAAGGGAGCCGTCGAATCTCAACAGAAACAGGCCGACAAGATGCTGGAGAAATCGAAAAACAGGTTTTTGTTAGCGTTCGTACTTCTGAAATTAAACTTTTAAGTTTTTTCAATTGATTTTTTAGATTTGGACCAGTTGGAGTTGGAATGACGGTTCGTCTCCCAATCGATGTCGTCGATCGACCTAAAATCGGCCACTCGTCTCTTTTTGGTGTCGTGCTATCTTTGGAGGAGGGTTTATATCAGATTGGCACCAAGAATGGAGTTTTGCAGCAAAAGTTAGTTAAACTTAAATATTAAATTTATTCATTAATATTTAACATTTAGGCTCACCCGAAATCAGTTTGAACCGGCCAACAACAATTTTCTCTCCGCCGATGACGTCCCTTCTCAAAATACAACGTTTCGTGCAGCTATCGGAGCCGAATCATTATCAGGAACTCAGGGTAAACTTAAATATTTCATTTACCAGGATGATTTTATGGTTTAGGTCACAAGCATTGCAATTGCACAAATGGATGCACGAATGGACGATGTGTGTGCCTCAAAACCAATATGCTCTGCAATAGCCGATGTCATCACAGTAATTCCTGCACCAACAAATAAACAGTTTGTTTTATGCATTTTAGTTGATGTTTTGTTAGTTATAAACGTTATTATGTTATAAACGTTAATATGTTATAAATGTTAAATGTTATAAATGTTAAATGTTATAAATTTTATTTCACTTGTTGTGATTAATTTGCTGATTTGCGTTTTGTATAAATAGTTTGAAATCAAAGGCTCATTTGAATCGAGCCATGTTCACGGAAGACGATTACAATTGTGCACGGCTAGCGAAAAAATTTCATTCGTTAACGGCTAGCCGCTAACGAATGATTCGTTAGCGGCTAGCCGATTACGAATGATTCGTTAGCGGCTAGCCGTTAACGAATGATTCGTTAGCGGCTGAAATTCGTCAGCGGCTACGACATATATACTAATTTTTAAAGGACTCAAATCTTTTGCACTCTCTTAAGTTGACATCGGTGTATCTGTGTGCCTCTTTACTAACAAGGAAAACATATGCGCAGGGAAAAGGCAAAAGGCAAAATGCAAAAGATGTTAATGAAGATGCAAAATTAGAATGAAACAAAATAAAACAAACCTCTACACCAATTACAAAAATTTGTTCAAACTCAAAAGGGCTTTCATAAAAAGTCCCATCCAAAAACCAGCAAGTATTCTGTAAAAAGCTATTTATTAGGTTGATGCATAAGTCTTTTCGTTTTTTTCGTACTTCTGTTAAAAAGTAACAAATTCACGAATTAATCTATAGTTTGCTCTATAAAAAAAGTGTTTTTTTGTTCAATTTGCATCTTTTTAAATGAATTTCGGTTCACTTTCAAGCAAATTCGAGAGTGAAAAACGCCTTTTTCGTAAAAATCTATAAAAAACTCTACGGAAAAATTGGCTGAATGAATTTCTCTGAAATTTTGGCGAAATAAACTATCTTTATCAAACATATCAAACGTTTTTTTTCTCTATCTTTTATCTATTGACACGAAGATAGGTTTTCTTTAGCTAAGGTGTCTAAACCGCATCATCGAGTTAGCCCTTTTTGACTACCCGACTTCATACTCTCAAGAAAATCCAGGCATTCAATATTTTTAAACCCGTTTTAATGTTATTTTGCAGAAAAATAATTCGTTTTTCTAATGAAATCAACCGTAGTTTATTGTTAATTGTAGTTAATTCGTGCATTTGTTGGCTTGAAACGGCATACGAAAAGGAACAAAAACACTTATGCATCAACCTAATATTTATGTTACATAGAAAATCGATTAGAAAATCGTAAATTTGTACTTAGCGTCACGAGATTATTAATTCCCCAAGCACTAACAAAATAACGAATGTAGAATCAATTAGAAAAGGTTATTTAAATCCAAAAGGGCTTTCGTAAAAAGTCCCATCCATAAACCAGCAAGTATTCTGTAAAAAGCTATTTATTTTATATATAAAATAGATTAGAATAGTAAATTAGTAAATAGTAAATTTGTACTTTTATCCACGAGCAACAACACCTGCAATGGACGGGAGGATCGACTCTCTTCCTCGTCGTTGTCTCGAATCGTTTTGAAACCATGTTTTTTTGGAAAGAACGTCAAAAATTACCCCTAGGAGTGTCCTGTTTCTTGTTTAGTCTGGTTTAACACTGTAGAAAGAACTTACTAACATTTGTGTCGCCATCGACGAAGTATCAATCCGTTGTGTACTCTTATCACGAGTATTAACCTTATGTTGGATACTGCGTGTTCTTGTTATGTTGTAAGCGTTTTGGGGAAACCCTTTTAACCTTTTTGTGCTAGTCGGCTATTAAGCAAAGTCATCCCCGATGTCTACCAATTGAAGCTGTCGGGAAAGATCAGTATTCTGCAATGTCTGAAATGAAAAAGATATCTTATTTCAGATTTCAGAGAGGGATACCTTCTAATCGTTGCCTTTTTTTCCCTTTTGCAAGGAAGTTATAGAGATTCTTCCTTACGTATTTCGGCGATAAAAGGGCAACTTTTCATGCAATAAGGATGGACTTTTTATGGTACAAAAGATACAAAAAGTGGATAGATTGGATAAAAATAGAGACCGAATTACGGCGGAAAGAGAAAAGGGACAAGGTTTAGAAAACGGCAGTAGCCCTTGTGATTAGATAATCTTCAGCTTACTCATTTTCTTGCATTTTCCATGTTATTGCTCCCAATTTAGTCTCATCAGAATGAAAAATTTGTAGAAAAATACAAACAAATTTGACGAAAAAATAGTTTCCCAGGAATTTGGACATATTGGACAAATGAATAGCTCCAAACATTCATTTGGAGCATTCATTTTATCAAGTCTACCAATTGAAACTGTCGGGAATGATCAGTATTCTGCAATGTCTGAAATGACAAAGATATCTTATTTCAGATTTCAGAGAGGGATACCTTCTAATCGTTGCCTTTTTCTCCTCTTTTCATTGTACAACTCCATAATAAAATTATCCATTGACTGTAAGTATCATTGCATCCCCATTCAAGCACTTTTCATAAACATTTACAATCAGCTTTTCGTTTCTCTCATCTAATTCTAATTCATGCGCAAATATCTTATCTAATTCTCTTGTCATTTACGGCCAATAATCTTACATTCACTTTTTTTCTTTTTTGAGGCAGAAGCGCGGCGGAGTCTATGGGATTTCTTATGCGAGAATATCCCCATATATAACCGATCAAAGTCTGGTTTGCATAACCACACCCAAGTTATTATTTTAAAAATATCAACCATCCCTTGAAACTTTGAAACTTGTTTTTTTTCAGAATCCACTTTATTTCAATTCCTTTTCTCCCTAGAATCACTAAAGAAATTTCCTTGCAAGCCCATTCACTAAAGAAAACATGTAGATTACATATTTTTCTTGCATTTGATTTATTTGAAAAGATTTATTATATATTTGACTATTCTTGCGTTTTGTTGCTTTTTGAGATAAGGAGATAAGCCTCAATTCATTCAGTTCACTCAAGTCAAATATGCTCAAATTGGTACTCAATTCATTTATTATTTAATCACTTTGAATCTTTTTGATTAAACGAATCATTAAACTTAAGACTTTGCTTAAATCAAAAGCCTTAATCAAGATCGATTGGACGTAGAATTGTTTGGCGTTTGGAAGCCTTTGTCTGTGCTTAATTTGGAACGAATTTTTTGTTCAAATCTTCCAAGATCCTTGCTTTCTAATACCTAATACCTTGTTGATCTTTTGATAAATTTGTAAGTATTTCAACAATTTCAATAAGAAACTTTTGATAAAAGGATCAATTTTCCAGATTCCGCTAGAATCCCTTCAAATCTCTACAAAATGTCAGATGTGACAACAAGTGGTTGGATGAATGTTGATGAAAAGTAAGTTAACAAGAAAGAATTTGAAAGATTATTTGTAACTTCGTTATTCTAAGCGTTATTCTGATTGTGATTGGCAAAAAGTAGACTGATAAGGAATTTCTTCGTTGAATTTCAGAGGGAAAAGTGAGGCTTTGGAGCGAAGATTAGAGTAACTTGGCTTTAAAATTACAATATTATATCAACAAATCATTTTCACAGTTAAATTCAGATCAAAAATGTTGGCCGCATCGTTGCAATGCCACCCAGGAGATCCTTTGGAGATTACGACTGGAAAAGATGTTTGGTATAATGTAGAGGGAAGGCAACAGGGATGATTCGGCAAAAATGGCAACAATGAGAATATTTGTGATCTTGATTACAGGTGATATTTGGGAAAATTTGGAAATATTATAGTTCTTTGAATAAGGTTTAATGTTAGTCCTAGTTTAAGATACAAACAGACTCTAAACTGGGGAATCTGAGCAACCTGGGGAACCCTAGGCCTCAAAATACATTAAAATAAAACGAGAACAGATTGAGGCTATGGGAGAGTCACTAGGATAAGTGGAAGCCAAAATCTAGCAGCCAAAATCTAGCAGCTCTATATCTAGTCGATCATCGGCATCTCTTCCCCAACCTCAGCATGTTTCGTCTGTTCATCTAATCGTTCATTCTGCTCTTTTCCCCGCGATTTCCCTCATTTCCCCAATCGCTTTCGATTGCTACTCGTTTTCAAACGTTTTCTATTTTCATCACGATCACTTAAAAACGAGAAAGCTTTCTTCACAAATGCAGCTCGAACAAAGATGGAAAAACTCTTAGTAATGCTAAATGTTTAATGATAAAATCTAGATATTAATCAGTGTAGGATGTCCGTAAAAATGCAAATCAAATGCATAAGCTCAACAAACGTACAATCACCGTAATCTCCTTGGTAAAGCAGTACTCCATGATGAAATAGACTGAATATTTTATTTGTGAAGAACTACAATCCTAAAAGAATCAATCAATCCCATTACAGTAACTGAATGCAATAACTGCCCAACCAAATGGTCTCTTTTCTTCGAATCTCCAATAGAAGCTCTTTGACTTTTCTTTCAATTCTCATCTCTGTTTCACTTTTGATCTTGATTTTGATCTTTCTTTCTTTCTTGCTTTGTCTCTTTTCTTTTTAATCATTAGTTGTACATATATTCGTGGTCACAATTTGATTTTGTTTTGATAAATTTACAGATATATATATATGTTGTGTCCGATTTAGATTTCCGTTCGATTTAGATTCAATCTAAATCGGACGTCCGATTTAGATTGAACTTATCGCGGACGTCCGATTTAGATTACGGTCTATATTGGACGTCCGATTTAGATTCAATCTAAATCGGACGTCTTATATAGATTGAACAATAACATAAACATGCTTAATATATGTTCTTAAGCGTTTTCTGTAGTTTTCTGCATTTTCAAAGGTCTTTTATTGATTATTTCATAGTTGGGTTTTCTTTTCAGAGAAAGACAGTAAAACAGAAAAAGAAAGTAACAGACCTTTGAAAAATGCAGAAAACTACAGAAAATGCTTAAGAACATATATTAAGCATGTTTATATTATTGTTCAATCTATATAAGATTTAGATTGAATCTAAATCAGATGTCCGATATAGACTGTAGTCTAAATCGGACGTCCGCGATAAGTTCAATCTAAATCGGACACAACATATAGAGACTTTATTCAAGCTATGAAGTAATGTGGAAAAAAAAATATTATTAACACACAGAGGTAGTAACATCTTAAGACGTTTTTTTGATTTTCTGCCCGCTAAAATGTGGACAATCTACGTGACGTACGGACAAACGCGGTTTTTACGACAATACGACAAATGTTTTTAGTTTTACATGCTTAGGGAGCATTATTAAAGTTAAAACAAAGCAAAAAATGCCTTTTGGGCTTGTCTCGGATTCGCCATTTTTTTTTGCGCGCCAATAGTATCGCAAGAAAATTAATTAGCAAATTAGTTACTGATTCTGAGTTAGGTGTTTGTAGGTGTTGTGGCGAGCAAAATTTTGGGTACATGTTCATCGCTTAAAAATCGTTTTCCGGCAACTAATTTTTAGTTTTACCTGCTTAGGGAGCTAAAACAAAGCTTAGGAAGTTAAAACAAAGCAAAAAACCGCATTTTGGGCGTGTCCCGGATTCGCCCATTGAACCAAAAAGGCATCAAGTCTTCGCAGAGTTGATCAATTTTTATTTTTTTGGTATTAAAATGATCGTTGCACACGTTCACACAAAAGTTATCGGGTTTTGAGAGTGCAATCTTTCGACCACGCTGAGAACGAGTCACCGAAAGCCCATCAAGAAAACTTTTTGATGAAAGGCGATCTTTTCGATCGATCGATTTTTAATGATTGTGTTTAATGTGTTTTCAAATGTCAATTTCTTTATAAAACTTTGAGATTTGTTAACACAATTTTCTTAATTTCACCTTCAAGAAATCGTTTAGAAAATCAAGATCAGATCAAGAAAAAAACACATAAAAAGCGCTCATTAACTTCCCAGATTTTTCGATGGCATCTTGCAAATGAAACGAGCGAAAAAGGAATAGGTTGATTGCCCAAACCATGCGCGTGAAGAACCACAACTCGGATCGTTGGACATCTAAGAAAAATATTGAATGTACAAATAGACAAAGGATACGTAGTCTCTTTTATTTTTGAAGGCTTTAGCAAGATCTTGGTAGCCAACCAAGCCAAGAATCAGCCAACTAACTACAGTCGAACTTCTCTATAACGACCATCTACATAACGACACGACAACTTCTATATACCGTATTTTCTCTAATAGTAGTGCACCGCGGCGAGCCGAGTTGGTGACTATTTTACGGTTTCCAAGCTTTTGCAGAAGCTCAACACTCTAATCCCCCACTAGATCTCATCGTCACCTACATTTTCCGATCTCACATCGATAGGTTCTGATAAGCGGTTCTCGAGATTTCGAGGAATTTAGGCGACGCTCAGGGTGCACTACTATTAGAGAAAATACGGTAACAATGGCTTTTCTGTGTCCTGGCAAAACGTTTAATAAAATGTTAACAAGCAAGCTTCTATATAACGATAATTTTTGGGAAAATAGTTTTAAGTTGCATTTCTCTATAACGTTTTGCTTGAATCGAGCAAATTTGTTTTCTAAACAATTTCCTAAGCGGCAAACAGCGGCACTTTGTTCAAATTTTTCACTCACGGCAGCATAGAAGGGCACACGAGTGTAGCCGAGTGGGTTGTAGTCAACAGGTGACCCATCTGTCCATGTACCGGTGAGCGCTCCATTCCCGTAGTACCCGATCCACACCCATTGATCGTCGCACGGAAGGGCCACAGAGACATTCGCCACATTTGACCCGATCAACGCTGAAACCGAGTTGATGTTGTTAAGTTGGGTGAAATAACACTTCTTCAGATAGATTAGCCATTAAGATAGATCTTCAGATAGATCTTCTGATAGATCTTCAGATAGATCTTCAGATAGCTCTTCTGATAGATCTTCAGATAGGTCTTCAGATAGATCTTCTGATAGATCTTCAGATAGATCTACAGATAGATCTTCAGATAGATCTTCAGATAGATCTACAGATAGATCTACAGATAGATCTACAGATAGATCTTCAGATAGATCTTCAGATAGATCTACAGATAGATCTTCAGATAGATCTTCAGATAGATCTACAGATAGATCTACAGATAGATCTACAGATAGATCTTCAGATAGATCTTCAGATAGATCTTCTGAAGCTCTTCAGATAGATCTACAGATAGATCTACAGATAGATCTACAGATAGATCTTCAGATAGATCTTCTGAAGCTCTTCAGATAGATCTACAGATAGCTCTTCAGATAGTTTTAAAGATAGCTCTTCAGATAGATCATTCCGTTTTCACACAAACCATATATGAAATCCCTTTCCACATCCGAGTGCACTGAGGCGAGGTGAGCATTCGCGAACATTTGCTGACATTTTCCTTCGGCCTGGCTTGCGCTATAGAATTCCCAATCATTTCCATCAACGTACACAAAGTTCTGTAAAAGGAAAGTGTGAAAGATCGAAAGGAAAATGATACAGAATGACACTCACATGTAACTGATAGCAAAACCCTGTGTCCTGGGAATAGGCCCAATTGTATGGGCAACCACCGACTGAAACAAAAACTTAAATAACTCAAAAATTTTACACTAACCAGTGCCAAAAAACGAGCAAAATGATGGTTGCTTGTCGATGCAGCTGGTCGAATTCCATTTGGCCGTTTCTGGGTCCATAATCGCGCAGTTGTCGTCTGCTTTGGGATATCCTGGGAAAAGATATTGAAATTTTCAGAGGACAGTGCAAGAAGCCATTTAAGTTCATCAAAAATCGCTTTAGTTGAATCGTTAAGTGAATCGGTAAGTGAGTGGATTCAACTTCAAGCTTTATGATTCCCAAACCAGGATTCCAGTTCTCATAGTAGAGCGGCCGTCCACCAGGGTACATCCATGTCCCGTTTCCACTGTTAACCACTCCAATGTAGGGTGCTGTTGAGTTAAGATCTGAAGATGAGAAACTAGGTACAGGCAAGCAGTAAGCCTCGGTCAGCTCGATCAGTTCAATCACTCGATCAGTTCGATCAGCTCGATCAGTTCGATCAGTTCGATCAGTTCAATCACTCGATCAGTTCGATCAGCTCGATCAGTAACAAGAAACTGAAAATTCAACTCGCAAGTGTCAATATAAAGCAAAGGAATAAAATTTAGCGGTATAGTATTTGGCTGAATATCTTATGCAGTTATAACTATTGAAATTGGTCGAGTGATCGAGTGATTGAAATGATCGAGTGATTGAAATGATCGAGCTGATCGAGCTGATCGAGTTTTACTACTTTCCCTAGTTACACTGCAAAATAGACATATCATCAAACGAGTCGAAACGTCGATATCACAAAACGAACTATCAACGCCTCGGTCTACAAAAGCTACCTTTTTTCATCAAAGCGTACAAGTAGCTGTTGTCGTACAGATTCCAGATTTGCGCCAGCGTTGCCCCGACCGAGGCACACCCTTTCTCAGCATCGTAAAAGTTCATTGCTGTAAATTTTATTTGTTAATTTGTGACATTGTCTGCATTAGACCTTACCTCTTGCATTTGAAGTGACGCAAACGTTGTCTACGTTTTGCCCGGGCAGCGGTGTGTACCCATCCGGACACCAAAGTGCGTCGGTGATCGATAGAAACGAGACGATGAATAAGAGACGGTACAGTGCGTTCATGTTCTCAACAAGTGACGCTGCAGGTTTATTCAGGAACTTTTATCTTGAAAATTTTTTGATTTCTGATTTCTTTCATTGTGATTTTTCTAGCAAACACTGATTAGAGCACACCAAAAAAGCCGAAAGAGCCGAAAGAGAGTAAAGAAACCGATTTTGGCGTCAGAGATCATTTTTCCAGTGTGCTGAGTGATGAGTTTTTGCTTTCGTTTTCGAGTTTGCTCAGAAATTCTTTGATAAAGCAGCCATAAGTTAAAACAGCTAAAACAGCTACGTCACTCATTCATTTCGAGCCTCGACAGAGTGTTTGAGAGTATTTGTGCCCTACAATAAGTACAAAATATTGAGTCAGTGCTGTCACAAAGTCGAAGAATTGTTAGGTAGTTAAGTTTGTTTTTTTTTTAGTAAATCCTCTATTAGAGCTCTATTTTTCGTGTCACTCTATTTTTCGCTGCCCATTTTTCGGATCCGCAAAAAAAAACATATAAAAGGGTACCACATTGTTGAAGAAAGACTATTTTTGATTAAATTACTCTAACTCGATTTCTTTTGGTCTAAAATATACGAAAAAGACATTAAAAACAAAAAGTTATGTCCATGGTTCTACCCCCGGATGTTCCACCCTCGAAAATCCCTCGAAAATCTCACCCCTTATCCTTCTTTCTCAAGTGGGTAAAGATATTCAGTAGAATCGAAATTTTGGCATATCAGAGCTTGTGGAAGCGAACGGATGGAGTTATACAAGGAGAAAAATCAAAAATTTTCTGTAATTTGACCTAGCCCTTTTGTCTTTTGGTTCCACATTGGTTTTGGTTGTTTTTGGTTGGTTTTGTTGGTTCCACAAGCTCATTTATGCCAAAATTTGAATTCGACACCCTCAAATTACCTAGAAAAACAACTTTTGGAATAGAAATTGGTTAATATCAGAATATTAGCTTTTAGAGCTTTTTTAAAGCGCGAAAAAAGGTGCGCTAATGGGCAAGGTGCGGAAAAAAGGTGCGCAAATGTCCGGGTACGCAAAAAAAAGGTCGCGTTTGTCCCACTCTCATGAACAAGTGTTGATTCATTTTTTTTTTAGTCTCACTTGTGTTGTTTTATTATTTTCTTGTTATTTTTTTGATTTAGAAATGAATCTTTCAACCTTGAAATCAGGGAAAAAATACTTAAAAACAAGCTTCAACTAACTGCTTACAAGAAAGGCAAAACTCAGTTTCTCTCGAAAGCCGCAAAGGACAAAAAAGCTTTTGATCAGCTTTTGATGTGATTCAATTATCGCTTTTTCTGGATGGCCGCCTAATTGTTCGGATCTCAATCCGCTTGACTTTTCTGTTTGGTCAGTGCTTGAAGCAAAAGCTTGCAAAAAACCGCATAAGACGATCGATAGCTTGAAGAAAGCCTTGCTTGAAGAATGGGAAGAGTTAGACAGTTGATCGCCCTAGTTGATCGCCCTAGTTGATCGCCCTAGTTGATCGCCCTAGTTGATCGCCCTAGTTGATCGCCCTAGTTGATCGCCCTAGTTGATCGCCCTAGTTGATCGCCCTAGTTGATCGCCCTAGTTGATCGCCCTAGTTGATCGCCCTAGTTGATCGCCCTAGTTGATCGCCCTAGTTGATCGCCCTAGTTGATCGCCCTAGTTGATCGCCCTAGTTGATCGCCCTAGTTGATCGCCCTAGTTGATCGCCCTAGTTGATCGCCCTAGTTGATCGCCCTAGTTGATCGCCCTAGTTGATCGCCCTAGTTGATCGCCCTAGTTGATCGCCCTAGTTGATCGCCACCGTGGATGCTTTTCCCAAACGTTCGCATGCCTGTAGCAACGCGAATGGTGTCCGATTCGAATTCAATTGTTGATTTATAGTTGTTAAATATCAATAAATGCTTATAGAGTTTAAATTTTGCTTTTTTTTTTCTTTATTGACCGTTGCCTGAGTTTTATGTCGTCATAATCCTGAGACACCGTGTATAAATTGTAAGTAAAAATATGCAATATCACAAAGAAGATGGTTCAAGCCTGGTGTTCAGCCAATTTCCCCAATGTGATCACCGCCAATGAGTGGCCCCCGAACTCACCTGATCTCAACGTAATGGATTTTTCCATTTGGAGTATCTTAGAGGCCAATGCTTGCTCTCAAAAACACACAAGTTTGGAAGCTTTGAAGAAGTCTTTGACTAAAGCATGAAAAGAAATTCCTCAAATTCACATTCGGACCGCCGTGGAGTCTTACCCGAATCGCTTGAAGGCTGTTATTAAAGCAAAAGGAGGACATATTGAATAGGGTCTCGTTTTCTTGTTTCTTGTTGTTCAATAAATTTCTTTTAGTTTAAAATTCTTTTTTTTTGGTAGAGAATTTTGGTATGAAATGCCTTGAATAGCTTGTGCGGTTACCCGCACGGTTACCCGCACAGTTGCCCGCACAGTTACCCGCACGGTTACCCGCACAGTTACCCGCACGGTTACCCGCACGGTTACCCGCACCGTTACCCGCACGGTTACCCGCACCGTTACCCGCACGGTTACCCGCACCGTTACCCGCACGGTTACCGCACCGTTACCCGCACGGTTACCCGCACGGTTACCCGCACCGTTACCCGCACGGTTACCCGCACCGTTACCCGCACGGTTACCCGCACCGTTACCCGCACGGTTACCCGCACCGTTACCCGCACGGTTACCCGCACCGTTACCCGCACGGTTACCGCACCGTTACCCGCACGGTTACCCGCACGGTTACCCGCACCGTTACCCGCACGGTTACCCGCACCGTTACCCGCACGGTTACCCGCACTTATGGCGCACCCTGTAGAGTTTAAATTTTGCTTTTTTTTTCTCTATTGCTCGCTCCTTGTTGCCTGAATTTTATGTCGTCATAATCCTGAGACACCGTGTAATCCTGAGACAATTGTAAGTAAAAATATGCAATTACAAAGATAATTCTAGTTTCCGTAATCCTGAAAAACTCTGTAGTTTTTTCAGAGTCACGTGTTTAAGCCAGCTATCTGTGATTGATATGTTTATTTGCGAAAAACTAGAAAAAAGATGCAAAAATGGGTAGAGATTTGCAAGAAAATCATCAAGAAAATCATCGAGAAAATCATCAAGAATCATTTAATCATTCAGTTTTGTAATGATACTCAATAGAACTCGATGTGCTCGGATCCCTTTCAAAGCTCATCATTAAAAGTTGAATTCCGATCAACTCTTGTTGTGTGAGCTTCGTTAAGAGAAACCATGTAGACGGCCTCTTTTCTCCTCGTCGTTCTCCTCATAAACCATCGCTTTTGATCGCTGACCTCGAATTGCCAATTCTCTGTGTTTCCAGTCAAAATACTCATGTTTTTCAGTGGTATCCCATTGTAATTTTTTGGGATTTTCGTGAAGAAATCTGATAATTTTTCAGCTTCATTCGAATCTTTGCTGATTTCTGTCAAACCGAATTTTAAGATTCTACTCTTGAACCTTTCAGCGACCTCAAACTCCTCGGCTCTCATCCGGAAAACTGGGAGAAAGCCCTGTAGAATGACTGCAGGATGCTCGAAATTAGGAAATTCTTTCATTCTTCAGATAAAACTCTAATTTCTCCCCAAATCCCTCTCCAGTTAGCTCAAAATTTGTATTGTCGTAATCTCTGGGGCAATGAACGAAATTCTCCTTATCAAAAATCAATTCGACGCTTGTTTTTGGCATGTATTCATGGGTTTTTTGACCGGCTTTAATTGTGAAAACTGGACAATTCTCGAGAAATTTTAACTGAAAAATATCTGCCCAATCTTCGTCCATAAAACCATTCTCGAACTCGATTGAGCCGTAGATTTTCGATTGAAATTGAGAAAGGAAATCTTTTGCAAGAGTCGGATGACCGTCGACTAGAAAATTGAGAACATTTCTGAGTCTAGGAAAAAGTTTTTGCTGATTGAAAAAGATTCGTAGAAAATCTCGTGTTTCTTCTGTTTTTGTGCCCATCGTCCAGAGATGAATCTCGACTTTTTTGATGGATTTAATCAAATTTAGGAAATGAGTTGAGAATTTTGTTCTCAAAAGCTTTCCACCAGATACTCGTAGGTCATCGTTTGAAATCTGAAAAGAAGAAATTCAGTTCAGAAGAAATCTAGTCATCAGTTGAGGCAAACAATGAAACAAGGCAATGAAACAGCCTTGTTTCATTGTTTGCCTCAACTGATGACTAGATTTCTTCTGAACTGAACGACTATTACAGACTGCACTACTATTATAGACTGCACTACTATTATAGACTGCAGTACTATTACAGACTGCACTACTATTATAGACTGCAGTACTATTATAGACTGCAGTACTATTATAGACTGCAGTACTATTACAGACTGCACTATTATTATAGACTGCACTACTATTATAGACTGCAGTACTATTACAGACTGCACTACTATTATAGACTGCAGTACTATTACAGACTGCACTATTATTATAGACTGCACTACTATTATAGACTGCAGTACTATTATAGACTGCACTACTATTATAGACTGCACTACTATTATAGACTGCAGTACTATTATAGACTGCACTACTATTACAGAAAATACGGTATTTATACTAGCTTTACCTCATAAGAAATCGTTTTTCTGCTGCAAAAAGTGAGCTGAATTTAAGCTGGAAAATAAGAACTTATTAAAAATCTCTAAAATTTTAAGGGAAATCTGCACTCATTTTTTAAGAATAATTTCTTGAAGTCGATTTGTAAAGAATAGAATAAAATGTTCTTGAATTGGTGAATTCGTTTTTAAGAAATTCTAGTCAAACTTTTTCCCGAAAACTTTCTTTCCAACTTAATAATTGCTAGACTGATGTTACGCCGACTAGCTTAAAGTTCAAAAAGCAAAGAAAGTCCTGTTCGAAAACTGTTTACTACAAAGTGCTTCAGAATTACCCGGATCCGTATCCAGGGTGCGTTGATGGCATGGAAAGAAAATCACTTATATCAAGATTAAAAAAAGCTAGAACAAAAGGGATTTCAGAATCGAAAAAATGAACTATTTTTTTGCCTTAGGTACCTTTTTGCCTTTTTGTTTGACAGATTTCGACTTTTTGCATCAATTTTTGTGCTTTCTTTTAGTGGCAACTCCGGCTCACTTTCTCCGGATTCGGTTTTTAATCTTAACCTTAAAATAAACTTACAAAAGTCTCAATTACCTGAAAGAGTGTCCTGTTCAGTTTTACATTCAACTTCAATTTGAAAGTCATCTTTCTCGGATCTTGGAGATCTTGATCGGTGGTGAAAGAGCCCGGATCGTCGAAGAGTTGCAATTGCATTTGGGTGATTTTCTTTGGAATCGCTCCGCGGTGCAGAATCTGTAGACAAAAGTAAGAGAAGTTTTTCCAAAGAAAATCGTATATCTTTTTGACGCAGAGGTATTTATGCTATTTAGACGGGGTATTTACGTGAAAGGTTGTTTTGTTTTGTTTCAGTCACTGAAGCAAACCTCGGCTACAAGTTACTACATGGCCGAGATTCTTTACTGTTTTCTTTACTACATGCCCGTGATTCTTTACTACTTTTACGAGATTCTTTTAGCTCAAAATGTGCTTTCTTAGCTGGTCTTATGATTATTTTTGGCCTTGCTTTTCAAATCATCGGTTCTCATTAGCCAACCTGTGCCCTCGTTTGTTGATCCACTTTCAGCAGCTTCAGCGAATCCGGTATCCCCAAGCATTCGTAAATCGAGTTTCGGATTCCTGGCGGAACCGAGTTGAAAGGGAAGAGAAGCATTTCAATGGAGAATCTTAAAACGATACGTGTCTAATTCGAACTAAAAAAAGCTGCAAAAGATGAAAAATACAGGAACATTCAATTTCGGCAAGTCTGACGGAACATTTTATGGCTTATATGGAAATCTGAAGATAAAGAAACTGACAGCTTTAAATTTTTTGGTTCATGATATGTAAACATGAAATGTGAAGTGTTTTTAAAAGACGAAACAGATACGCTTAAAATTTTCGGCTCTTTCCCTGAATCGTGGTCTTTTGAAAGTTTCGTGGTCCTGTAAAAGTTTTCGTGGTCCTGTAAAAGTTTCATGGTCTTTTGTCCTCAAAAGTCTCGTGTCCTTTTACAATTTTTTCTTTTTTAACCAAAAAGTCTTTTGAAATTGTTTTAACGCATTTTATTAGGTTCCACATGCACATTTAATCAAAATATTGGGTTGGGGAGAATGAGTCGGCGCCGAAAATCAAAAAAATGTCTAAAACTTCTATTCGACTTCGTCAAATAATATGCGTTTGATATGAGTAGAATGGTTAACTAATTCTCTACAAAATCACATTTAAAAGAAAATTCAAACAGCGCCTCCGCTCAAGAAAAAGCCATTTTTTCACAAAAACTACAAACTGTGATCTAGAAAAAACCATTGGTGGGATCTTCCTGCAAATTTGGCAACTTAAGTAATTGAATGTGCTCTATCTTTTTTATATAAACACCAAAGAAGGTTTATGTGAAAGAAACTGTTCAAATGATGAGTCGGACTCTTTGCCATTTTAACCAGCTGCGTTTGGAAGTTCATAAACTCCACGAAAGAAAAGCTTTGTGGAATCTCTCAAAAGTGATTTTGTAGAGAAATAGTGGATCCTTTTGATGAAACCAAACGTATGTTTAAAGAAGGCTTTATGTGTGCAAAAAGTCCCTTTAAAGTTCGGCGCCGACTCATTCTCCCCAACCCAATAAAATAAGTTAAAACAATTTCAAAAGACGTTTTAGCTAAAAAAAACAAAAAAAATTGCAGAAGAACGGACTTTTTTTTGACAAAAGATCAAGAAACTTTTAAAGGACCACTAAACTTTTAAAGGACCACGAAACTTTTAAAGGACCACGATTCAGGGAAAGAGCCAAATTTTCAAAAGTTGATTCACTGGCGTGAAGAAAATGGGATATTTCTAATGGGTTGGCATATTTTTTCGCGATCTCTTATCTTTTCCGTTTCTTTCTTGTAAAATAAAAGCAATGAAGTCATCAAAAGTTATCAGAAGGTTTGGTTTTTAATGTAAATTTTTAAAAAGCAGATCTTTTCCATCCAAATTTCGATTAGCAAAACTTTTTGGAGCGAGAAAATTGTTGAGTCATTTGAAAATTGCGCACTTCCGGTGCTGCTTGACTGGTCAAATTTTCGATCTGTGACTGCTTTGACTTGCTATTTATCAAAACTAAAATCTGATTTGAACAAGAATTCGATCAACTATCACCCAACTCACCGACACTTTTGACTCTCCCAATGGACGCCGAGCAGTGCGTGATCTGTGATCGAATCGGCTTTTTCAAGAAGAGTCTAGACGGACATTTTTTGGTGGATATTGCTTGTTAAAGCTGTGAATTGAATGCTCCAATGTCTCCAATAATTTGCAACTGTCAGCTTAAATAACGGAAATGTTTTCCCAAACTCACGAGTACTCTTTTTATCACTCGGCCTTCTCATCCAACTCTTCTCGTCTTCTCTCCATTTCCTCCTGAAAACTTTCGAATATTCGTTGAATGCTTCTTCTAGCTTCTTCTAGCTAGCTTCATTAGAAAGCTTTTTCGCCTAAAGCTTCGAATTTTGAAAAATGAATTGATTGATCGAGTTCTTGAATGGTAAAATCCTCTCTTTTGTGCTCTCCGTATTTCTTCGTTTCACAAAAGCACAAATCTGAAATCCGGTGTTTTGATGTTAAAATTTTAAGCTTCAACAACTTGTCGACAATCCAAAAATCGAAACATTTCATTGAGGAATTTCTAAAATAAAACTGCAGCATGTATTTTAAAAACTGCAGCATGCATTCATGTTGTTGATTGCCGTTTTAGTTCTGATAATTTAGGGCAGTTCTGACACTTTCGGCTGTATTTTTGCTGGAATTTCTCGTATTGTTTGCCCATTTCGGGGAGTTCTTTGAGGAATTCTGAAATAGAGAAATTTGAGGAAAAAAGGAAAAAAGAAAGAGGAAAAGGAAAAAAAGAAAGAGGAAAAAAGAAAAAAGAAAAAAGGAAGAGGAAATGGTGGCGCAAGACTTCGGTGGTAAAACATTGGCAACATAGTCACAAAGATGTCAGAATTTGGTTCGGGTGCATTTTTAGGAGACGAAAAATTAAATAAATCAACTTTCTAGCATCCCCCCCCAATTCTCAATCCCCTCGCACCTTTTAAACGATTATTCCGCGTCTTCTCCGTATCAAACAGCGATCCTTCCAAACAGATCGGACAAGTGATCTCATATCTGACTCGTGAGCTTTTATGCGGGTTCTTCTTTCGCCCTTTCCGATAACATTCAGTGCAAATTGTGTGGCGAAAAAAGAGAGCCAACAGCTCAATCACCATTCCAGAAAGAGAGCTAACAGCTCTAAATTCTAATTTCTAATTTCAGTAACCAAGTAAACACCTCTCAGATTGATCCACAGTAAACAGTAACACCTTGAAAAGTTTATGAATTATTTATTTAATCTTTAAAAAAAAGAATTTCCGGCTTCAGCTGTCCAACTTTCCTTCTCAAAGCTCAAAACTTTCCTTCACCATGTGAAGGTGCAGATACTTTGCAAACGAAACGTCCAGTTCTGTCCCATGCACCTCCCCAGCTCCAACCCTTCATTGAGCACGACGGATCGTTGACCATCTGAAAACAAAATACTTTCTTATTACAATAAAACATGGTTGAAAAAACTCACTACAAACAAATAAAACCTCGTTAATAAACATTTTGTATACAAAGAAGCTCTTTTTTTTTCCTTTTTATATCTCTTACCATCCAAAGCGACGACGCGTTCCCCGGGCCTCTCTCGGGAATTCCAATGTAGTCCACTGGGGACTCATCAGTCCAATACGAGTCGCGAGTTCCATTCCCGAGCTCTCCCGTCCCAACATAGCCAATCCATACCCACGAATAATTACATGGATCCCCGTTGGGCACCTTATCCGTCTCGTTGGCCACATTTGAGAGGATCTGATCTGAAATTGCAATCAGATAGCATCTTTTACTCACCGTTTTGCTCAAATTTCGAAATCTCTGAATGCATGATTGCCAGGGGCAAAGGAGCTTTGCAAAAATACCGTAAATCCTCTAATAGAGTCCCACCCTCATTTTCACTTTGATGCCCGAGTCCTGTAGCTATTTTTTGCTTGGGCCCTGTGGGATAGACAAAGACCCAATTTCACTCCAAACTAAACTTTTCTCTGTTTCTCTGTAGGAAGCACATGCACCTCTTACACTTCAAGCCCCAGTTTTTGTCCCTGTTCTAGAATTTGTCATATTGAATCATCTCTTTCTCCACAGACAGACACCACAAATACTCTCATGTACTAGTGTCCATCCAACGCTGCACTAATTTTTTTTTGCTCCTCATGCTTTTACAGAGAACAAGTGCAGATATTTTCATATCAAGGAAAGTACAAGTTACAAGTTGTTCTCATAGTTGTTCTCAAGGTCTCTCCCATTAAAATTGATTGTTTATGTCCTGGGAGGGGTCCTGGGAGGGGTCCTGGGAGGGGTCCTGGGAGGGGTCCTGGGAGGGGTCCTGGGAGGGGTCCTGGGAGGGGTCCTGGGAGGGGTCCTGGGAGGGGTCCTGGGAGGGGTCCTGGGAGGGATCAAGTTTTGGATCAAGTTTTGGCTCCGCTCAAATTGAGTTAACCGTTTGATGTTTGGCCAATTGTTATATAAAAAATATAACAATTTCAGAGCATCTTTACTTTTTTTTCTTTTCTGGGCGGTTATTTTACACCATAAAACTTGAGGAATAGCTAAGCTGAAATGGATTTTTTTCGAAAACGACCTCTCCTTTGTGCAGTCAATTTCCCAAAAAGTTGAATGAATTCAAAAACTTTTTATTCCAAAATGTAGAGGAGATCTTCAGCTTTCGAATGATATATAACACTCACTATACATCTGTTCGATATCTTGAGAAATTTACAAAATAGTAAAAACGCGCATTCATAACTGGACAGCCCAATAGTTTAGAGCCGGATATAAGTGCTAGTCAAGTGAAAAGTATTTTTTAGTTTCTTTAATGTAAAAAAAAAGAGAAATTTATAACAAAAATTATATTATAAATTATAAGTGCGTCTATAATTTTTTGACAGCTGATAAAACGTTTTTTGTACGATAAAGTACTTTGGATGTGTGAAATGACTTGAAATTTTGCATGGGTTTTTTTACATTAAAGAAACTAAAAAATACTTTTCACTTGCACTAGCACTTATATCCGGCTCTAAACTATTGGGCTGTCCAGTTATGAATGCGCGTTTTTACTATTTTGTAAATTTCTCAAGATATCGAACAGATGTATAGTGAGTGTTATATATCATTCGAAAGCTGAAGATCTCCTCTACATTTTGGAATAAAAAGTTTTTGAATTCATTCAACTTTTTGGGAAATTGACTGCACAAAGGAGAGGTCGTTTTCGAAAAAAATCCATTTCAGCTTAGCTATTCCTCAAGTTTTATGGTGTAAAATAACCGCCCAGAAAAGAAAAAAAAGTAAAGATGCTCTGAAATTGTTATATTTTTTTAAAAGTTGTATTGATATATCTATTGGCCAAACATCAAACGGTTAACTCAATTTGAGCGGAGCCAAAACTTGATCCAAAGGCACCCTTCCATTTTTTGGCCACCTCTTCTTCTGTGCAGTCAATTTGCCCAAAAGCTGAAGAAATTCAAAAAAATTTTCTATCAAAATGTAGAGGAGATCTTCAGCTTTCGAATAATACTCATATATGTCTTTTTCTTGATTTCGGTATCTTGAGAAATTTACAAAATAGTAAAAAACGCGTATTCATAACTGGACAACCCAAGATTAAAGTTTTTACGGTAGTTTTGAGTTCAAAGCTCAGTCTAATGAATTAGAATAATTAAAAAAGCCCAAGAAGTGGATGTTAAAAAGCGCAAAGTGTCGGCTAAAAGCCAGTTATGGGGATGTTAAAAGGCGTCAAAAAAGTGAGCGATGTCTTTCTCAATGCTTTTTGCTCGATGCTTTTCGCGCATACAATCGGGATGATTTTGTAGCGTAATGCTTAAAAATTCAAGCACTACCGTTTTCGAAATTTCTTTTAATTTCGGTCTAATGACAAATCTTTCGAAGAGATGCCATTTCGCTTCCCTTTCTGAAAATCTCTATTTTGGATTTGGTTGGCTTGCAATGAAATCCCGGCTTTACTGCAAATGAACAACGACTCTATCGCAAAAATCCCAGGATCAATTGTCTGAAAGTCAATTTCCGACCAGAAAACTCGTTGATGACAATTAACAAGCAATTGCATTTCAAGATCCCCTATGATGAGGTGCTAAAAGTTGATTTGGAGAGAGGAGACACTCACCTGAACATCTCCCTCGATACCTTTTGTCTACTCTTCAAAAAAGTGACCATTTTACGAGCACTCACTTTGGACTTACACGCTAAAATACTTATATCTAAACCCATACCTAATCCTCCTCCCAAATTATGAACAACTCCCGCATGCGGAAACTATTAGAAAAAAGTACCAAATTATGAACAACTCCCGCATGCGGGAACTATTAGAAAAAAGTCTCAAATTATGAACAACTCCCGCATGCGGTAACTATTAGAAAAAAGTTCAAAATTATGAACAACTCCCGCTTTTTCAACAAAATCTTTAGGTACCTAACCCATATCTATAACTTTAGTTTAAAAAATGTTTCAAAAAGTCGATATTTCGAGGGGCCACGGGGATGCCCGGACCAACTTTCGCTTGGCCTAGAAGTGATCTGCGCCACACCGTGATTTTTTTTTTCTAAAAGGATTATATAAGGGGTTAAAGTGGTTATATACGGCAACTAAGCGCTTATAAATGCTAGATCGTAAAGAGCTTGCAACATTGATCCCCGCCGGAATCTGCCTAAGTGCAGATAGCGTGCAGCACTGGCCACCCAACTATAGGCGCTTATAAGCTTGTCATTTTTTGTAGAAAAACGCACTTAAGATGCTGAAATTCGGATTCCACAAAATTCGAAATTACCCCAGAAAAACAACTTTAAAGGTCCCAATTGGGACGGAGTTAAATTGTACCGCAATCAAAGGAACAGGGAAAAATCCAGGCGAAATGGGGAAGTCAATTGAAAAACCTCGTCAAATCTCGTCAGCCATGTCTAGGTTCTGTTTAGAATTTTTATGAATGATTGGAATAAATGTTTTTGAGACTTTCTATGAGAGTAAGAGTCAATTTTTCTAGACAAAACAAAACGATGACATTGAGTGAAAGCATTCCAGAGATAACAAACCTCTTTTTCAAGATAACCAAGTACACAAGCACGTTCGAATAAGACGAAAAGTCAGACCGTCCAAGTCTTTAAACCTCATGATAAGCTTTTTTTGTCAATTTCCGGTAACAAATTCACTAAATCCAGATGAAAACCACTACAGAAATACAGGAAAAAAATCTGCAAAATCGGATTCAAATAATACGAAAAGATCGAGCTTTCACTTCTCAAAACGTCATGATAAATTTTTTTCGTCTTTTTCCGACAAAGATAACAAATCTGGAAATAAATAGAGAGAATTTCTGCACTTCTTTCAAAATGAGACAACTTCCCATTTGCTTGTTATTTTTTGTCTTTCTCGGCTCTTTGTCAGCCGATTGTTCACCCGATTACACGTACAACAACGATTTGAATGTTTGCATTCGTTTCCCGAATGTGACAGGTCTCTTCTTAAAATGCTTTAATAAAATTTCATTTCCTATCTGTAATAGTTGAAAACTAAACCGTTTATTTACCCAACGTTGACTTTTTAGCTTATCAAATCAACACCAAAAGCATTTTCTTTTTGTTGCGGGAACATTACTTGAGCTAGTTAAATCAGTTTGAGCCACTTAAGTCAATGATTGATTATTGGGAAAATTGGAAAACAATGAACTTGCTGTAAAAATAAGCTAAAAGTTAACGCACCCACCTTTCAGGAACATGGAATCAAGCCTGGGTGGATTGTCGAATGGAAAACGGCCAGCTTTTCTCGATTCACAACGCTTTTCAGAACTCATTTGTCGCCAACTTATTTGCAAAATTGTAAGTGGATTCAACGAGATCAAAGTTTCAAAACAGCCAGGCGCGTAACCAGGGAGGAAGAAAAAAAATCTCAAAAGGATGGAATTTCAGCCCCCAAATTTTTTAGACAAGAAAACCGACAAAAAAAGGAAAAAATTTACAGGGAAAACCTGGCTGTTGTTTTGTCGAATGCATAGTTCTCTGGTTTTTCTTAAAACGTTTTGCATTCCCATAAAAATTCCTGACTACAGTCATATACCGTATTTCTTCTAATAGAAGTCCTCCAATAAAAGCCGCACTTACAAGTCGTTCGAAAAAATAGAAGTCGCCCTTTAATAGAAGCTGCGGCTTCTACTAGAAAACTATTTTTTTTATTTGACGTCAAAAATACCGTACCTCCCTCCATATGCATTGAATTTTTAAGCGAAATTTAATTTAATTTAGAGTGTTTTGTGCTTTGGGTATTAGGTTTTTAATTTGATATTTGTGTTTTCTTTTTGTTTCTTGTTTTATTCCCTTTTTATTTACGAATTTTAGGTAATGATGCATCAAGAAGTGATTGCTTTAGTGATGTTGGCAAAATTCCTACAGACACGGCTAAACTCCCGCAAGCAAGAGCTGCCAAGCAACTTGCGGTGTTAATGGAAGAGATTGACCTAAACGAGAACGTCAACAACTTGGACTACGACTCTGTTGGAAGTATTTTGCCCTACGAAAAGGAACACGATGATGAAATCTCTTCTATTTCTTCGCTTGGCTCGTTTGATTTGAGCTTGGACAATGACGTGGATGGAAACATTTTGAAAAAAGAAGCTTTTGATCGGGACGTCAATGAGAATGATTTGGACGAATCGTTGTTGCACGTTGATTTTTGAATTTTCAAATACTTAGGTACCTAAACGCAGTTTTTTATGTTGTTTATGTTGCCTATTGTTACTTGTTTGTTGCTAATTTACCTTCTGTTCTTAATTTATGTCTTTGTTTTTTAATTTATGTTAAATAAAAAATAGAAAAAAAAGACAAAAAGTGTGTTTTTTGTTTGAAACAAAACAATACTTTTAACTTTGTTTGCATTAAATTAGGTACATTAAAAAAATCTAGATCAGGAGAAAGCAAGGGATGGCTGGGAGCGAAGATCGGTCTTGGCGCAAACGGTGCAATCGGATGGGCTGATGAAACACCGTTTGACTATCAACGATTGCAACAATCAAGTAAACGATAAACTTTTTCTCTTTTGAAATCTGGTTTAGGTGGTGCTGGGAACTGTTCCATTTTGGATTCAAACGATCTGATGTGGCGAATGAATGACTGCTCTCGGCAATTCAAATACCTGTGCTATTCTCCTACAATTATTCCGTCAACCACCGATTTCTCCTACACTCAACAAGACACATCTCCCAACTATCAGCCAACAAATACCCCCGTTAATCTCCAATGTTTGCCACGTGAGTTTCTTTTGAGAATTTTAGACTTAAATGATAAGTTGATAAGTTTAATTTATAACAGAAACAAGAAAAAGTCAGAATGCTCCTAGATTTAATCTATTTGTTTCAGCTGCCTCTCAACCTTTGTACAAATGTCAACAGGGTTGGCAATACTCTTTACAAACAGGATATCAATACTTGGTGAGTGGCTTAAAGTGACATGCCTAGAGTTAGCGGTTGCGTCACACTGTTGGTATTAAAGTTTACGGCTATCAAATGATCTCTTTTAATCACTCAATAGGTAGCCACCGATATGTTTTTCGACGATGCTGAGAGCTATTGCTCACAACAAGGAGCACATCTTGTATCGATTCACAGTGACGAGGAGAACGATTTTGTGACCAGTACGTGAATATTCTCACGAGAGAGTCTAATTTTTTTGTAAGTTATCTTCCTTTCATCTTGCACAAAACAGTTCACAAGCAAGCAAGCTGAAAGAAAGGTAGCTTACACAAAATTTAAAAAACTTACACTTAACAATCAATTTTAGATCTCTGTTGTGGATCTGCGTGTCAAACGAGTCACGATGGGGCTCAGTATTCGAATTATCTTACCGGAGGGAAACAGGTACTTGAAAAAAATCGATTTAACTCGACTTTGGTTGGTCAAGAAAAACAAGTTATTTTCTAGTTTTAATTTCTTTTTTTTTCAGATAAATGGCGCAATGACTTGGACTGATGGGTCACCGTTTGACTATCAGCATGCCACTTGCGAAAATGATCGAAACAATGGAGACATTCTTTTTGTGAGTTTTTAAAAAATTGTTGGGTCATTTAAAACTACTATCAAAATAACATAATTTTTCTTTTCTTTTCAGATTTCCAACTTCAATGGTTGTGGCAGTTGTGGCGTGTCGGGTCTCTGGATTATCGATGAGATCCCCACGCCGACGCCGTATATCGTTTGCAAGAAATGAACGGATGAATATATGTGAATAAAAATTGCATTTTATTAGAGGATTAACATTTTATTTATTTATTTATTTACAAAGGCTGGGACTGGGCATAGCTATTGTTGTGTTATCATTATCTCGAGTCGCGACTGTATTTGAGCTCATTTTTCGGCATCATGTTGTAAGCAGTTTTTACAAAAACACAAATGCTGTCCAAGAGTACAAACAACTAAAGAAATTAAAATGAAAACTTTCTAGGAGATATCAGATCACTTGGAAGAGATTCTGAAGAAATTGGTTCCACGTCTAACATTTTTGTTTCCCAACTATAGTGCGGCAACTCCCGCCCCCTTCCTTCCCCTTCCCAAAGGTGGGAAGAGGACCACGGGGCCCAATCATCATTCCCTTGTAAGTATTAGGTTGGCAACTAAATAATGGCCCTCGCCCTTTTTTGATAAAATCTTTTAATCTTTGCGTTTAATCTACCCTCGCTTGTTGTTAATTGAATATTACTAAATTTCTGGTGCATTATTATACGTTTTTTACTTTCCTTGATTTGGTACTTTTCAAATAATTTTGTTTAGAAATGGAAGATCTCAAATATCGAATGCGTGTCTGTTTCTGGTACGACTACAAAAAAGACAAAACAGCTGCCGAATCCCACAGAGATTTATTGCGAGTTTTTGGTGATGAAGCTCTTTCCGAAACACAATGTAAGAGATGGTATCGACGGTTCAAGGAAGGGGATGAAAGTCTTGAAGATGAGCCTCGCCAAGGACGACCCGAACTTCTGCAGAACGATATTTTGGAAGCAGCTTTAAAGGAGGATCCAAGTCAAACATCACGCGAGCTAGGGGATCGATTGGGCTTTTCGCATACTGCAATCGAAAAGCGACTTCATGCATTGGGGAAAAGTAACCGCAGTGGAAAGTGGATTCCGTATGAATTGAGCGAAGAAAATAAGGCTACTCGTGTTATCACAGCTGGAATACTACTAAAACTTGCGAAAAAGGGAAGCTTCTTGGATTCCATTGTCACTTCTGATGAAAAATGGATCTTTTATGATAATCGAACGCGAAAACGACAGTGGCTTAGCACAAACGAAGACCCAAAACCAACTCCGAAGCCGGATATTCACTCAAAGAAAACTCTCCTCTGTGTGTGGTGGAGTTCTCGTGGGTTGGTGCATTTCGAGGTTATCAAAAGCCGTCAAACGGTTAATTCAGAACTCTATTTGTCTCAACTACATCGTGTAGATCAAGCAATTCGCTCTCAAGGACTCGAACCCTCTTCAATTCATTTTCTCCATGATAACGCAAAACCACACACTGCAAAACTTACAATGGAGAAAATCGAGGAGTTGGGCTGGAATGTTCTTCCTCATACGCCATACAGCCCGGATATGGGGCCTAGTGATTACCATCTTTTTCGATTGATGCAACACTTTCTAGCCGAGAAAAAGTTCAATGACCTTGACGAAGTCCGAATTTCAGTGCAGAAGTTCTTTGACGATCAACCAGAAGAATTTTTCAAGAGAGGAACCCAGTTGCTCCGTCAAAAGTGGAAAGAAGTAATAAAGAATGACGGAGAATACCTTTTGGATTGATGTTGATATTTGTTCATCTTGTTAATAAATTTTTTGTTTTTACTGAAAAGGGCCATTATTTAGTTGCCAACCTGATAAATTGGATAGAATTTGACAGCAAAAAATACGGCAACTTTCTAAAGTATCAAGGTTTAGAAGATTTTGATTTTGGCTGTTTTCTAAGCGATTTTGATCTATCCTAGAGTCTTCACCTTGAAACAAGATTATTCAAGAGTACGATTTCAAATAAAATTCGAGTTAAAAGTTTCGAGTTCGAGTACGATTCCTAATAAAATATTCAGCTTTTGGAGATTGAAACTGTAAAATTTGATAATGTCGTAGGTGAAACTGAAAGATAAGAATGACCAAAGTATTGTTGTTTAAAGAGTGTTTCACTCATCGTTTCGATCATTTTTCTTTCAAAAGATTGACAAGTAAAGCCGCATTGATATTTGAAAATGGTGGCAAAATTTGGTCGAATGAAAGAATGGTCATAACTAAGTAAATTGGGTAAGTTTTGTTAGGAAATATGACGGTAACTTTCTAAAGTCTCAATTTGTTCTCAGCTCAACATTGAAACACGAGCATTTGGTTACTGAATGAACTTGATTCGAAACTTGAACAAGCTTGAACAAGCTTGAACAAAGGTTGTTATTTTTTGATTGGAAATCAGTTGTTATCGACTATAAATTGACTCTCAGCATAAAACCCACACATAGAACCAAACCCGAAACGTCATCAACAGTTTTTAGCTAATCTCAATATATCATTCCCATTTTTTCACCAGAAAACCGCTCAAAATCCTATTTTTTTTATTAGATTCCATTCCCAGAACACATTTTAAAAGAATCAACTATTTTTAATATAACATTCAAAGATTTTTGCAATTTTTAATGAAATTCTCAGATTTCTCTTTTATAGGTCACTTTTTGCAGAGAAAATCTCCGGAAAATCATCGAAAAGTAATATTTTTCCCAAGGTTTCCCCCCGCGAACTCAATAAAATTGTCAAAGCAAAAATAGGAATAGATAAAGAATTTCCTAATCCAGAAAAAGTTGAATATTATATCCTTTCTCTTATATTTCCTTTTCTAGGGTTTCTTCTATCGGATATTATTAAGACTTTCGCACATCTAGAACCCATAGATTGAATATATTATTAAAAAAACACAAAAACACAAGTCTATCCTTGATCAGACTAAAATTTTCTGGTATAGTCTAGAGTCTATTGAGCTGAATATTTAGTTCCTGATTACTGAATATTTAGCTCCTGATTACCGTATTTTCTCTAATAGGAGTGCGAGCCGAGTTGGTGACTATTTTACGGTTTCCAAGCTTTTGCAGAAGCTCAACACTCTAATCCCTCACCAGATCTCATCGTCAGCTACATTTTCCGATTCCACATCGATAGGTTCTGATAAGCGGTTCTCGAGATTTCGAGGAATTTAAGGGGAGCTTTGGGTACACTACTATTAGAGAAAGTACGGTAATTTTTTTTATTAAAAACCTTTGCTCAGTTGAGAAGTTGTCCTTGAAACAAGAAATTTCAATCACAATTCCAAGCCTGCTCAATTCAAACCTACTCAATTCCAAGCCTGCTCTGCCTTCAACTCTAACAACTGACTAACTAACTAACAATACCTAATTGACTAATTAACTAACTGAATATCTAATTTTAAGATTAGTTAAAAGCTTTAATCAACCAAGTACTTGTTCCCTTTGAAACAAGATATCCCGCTTCAATTCCAAGCTTTCCATTAAACTTTAACAATCTGTTCTAGAGTCTAATACTTAAATATCGTATTTTCTCTAATAGTAGTGCACCCGGGCGAGCCGAGTTGGTGACTATTTTACGGTTTCCAAGCTTTTGCAGAAGCTCAACACTCTAATCCCCTGCAAGATCTCATCGTCAGCTACATTTTCCGACCCCACATCGATAGGTTCTGATAAGCGGTTCTCGAGATTTCGAGCAATTTAGGCGACGCTCAGGGTGCACTACTATTAGAGAAAATACGGTATCCAATGCTTGATCGAAACTGGGATAAATTTGGGAATTTCAAGCAAATAGATGATTAAAAGAATGATCAAAAGACAAATATAATTCAAATTTTCAAATTTAATTAAAAAGCTTTGATCAGTCGAGAGATTGCTCCCTTTGAAACAAGGTTTATACAAGAGCTCATTCGAACAAAATTTCTAATAAGATAGCTTTTGGACATTGAAATTTTAAACTTTAATAATTTAGTACTTGAGTTACAACTTCAAGAACTGTTTATTGAAAAACTTTGATCAATCAAATGCTTTTTCATTTTGAAATTCCATTTTCATTCTAATGAAATATGCAACTTTCTAAGGTTAAAGTTTAAATTTTCAGTCATTTATCTACTAACAAAAATTCTGTAGTAATGAACTTTTTACAAGTTTCTATATTCTTTTATTGCCTTTACTTCATCACGGCTCAAGTAAGTGATAGAGATTTATTGGAAATGTAGTCAATCTTTCGGTAAACTCTACGGCGAAACGGGTCCGCATGGGCCTCCTCTTCACAAAAGATACTGTGGATCTGCAGGTGATTTTTTGAAATTTAACAAATTCAAAGGTTAGGCATTTGATTCAACCGTTAATTGAAGAAAGGATAAAGAATTAAAGTTCTGTTCCCTTTTTGAAACCGAAAAATTTGAAACTCGTATTTTCATCGGCCCACTTTCACCATTTTCTACATACTATTAGAGCTTTTTTTACGGTAAATTACAGCAAGATTTCAACGTAACGGGGAAATGAAATCAAACTGAAATGCTATAGATACATATAGAGAGAAGTGATCTTTATCTAATAATTTATCCGAATTCTGAATAACCTTGATCTCGTCATCCTTTCCGTATACTGAAAAGTAATCGATTATTTAACGACTTAGCTCATTAACAAGGACAACTTTGAAACATTCAAATCAAAAATTCAAACATACCATCCAAACATTGAAACATACAACCCAAAAATTGAAACATTCAATTCAACTTTAACACATCCAAATTCAAACCATTTTTTTGATTAAAATCGACGTTTTAGAAAACACAGCTAAAAATTTATAGAATTCAAGAACAATTGAAAAAAAATGAACCCCATTTCGAAGCCAACATTTCGATGAAATTAAAGATTCAGAGAGCACAATGTTTTCAAATTTTATTGAAGACATCAATCAAGGCAATTAAAATATTGTCCCTATCTTAAAGCCGAACAATTTGAAACTAAAACTTTCATAAAACCTCATTTTATATTTAGAGTTTTTTATAATATCATATAGCCTAATTCAACAAATTCAAAGGTTAGGCATTTGATTGAACCGTTAATTTAAGAAAGGATAAAGAATTAAAGTTCTGTTCCCTTTTTGAAACCGAAAAATTTGAAACTCGTATTTTCATCGGCCCACTTTCTCCATT